TTTTTTTTTTAATTTTTTAAAATTGGTTAGGAAAGAGAAACGCCACGTGTTGGAAACGATGAAGGCGGGGTTGAAATTATGTGTGATGCTGAGATATTCCATGAGTTAACAACTAGCAGAGGAGAAGTCAGAGTAATTAGAACTGTTAGTTTCAGTGAAGACAGATTTTGTCTGGTAAATAATTAATATATTCTACTAGCTAGCCTGCCTTTCACGTCACGTTTTTTATGTACATATATATAAAGAACCATATGGTATGATTTTGAATATGGAAGGAGCTGCAAATGTACTCATTTGGCGGTTTTCTTTTACAGATTCATCCTGATGGTGTTGCGGGAACAGAATGAAAAGAAGAGTTGAACTTGAATAGAAGTTGACATTACAACAAAAGAGAAAGAAAGAAAGAAAGAAAGAAAGAAAGATGAGAGGAATTGTATTTATATATCTGAGTGTTATCGATATTTATTTAAAATAGTTAGGATTAGTTATTTGGTTATTTCTCTTTATTAGTAAGGATAGATTAGTCTTTTTAGTATTATGCTTGTATGGCTATATAGGCTATATAAACCTCTCTTTGTCGATGAATTAGGTTTTCTCTCTCATTGCAATAGAACTTTAGTGTTACGATTTTCTTTTATTTTTTTCTTTTCTTTTTCTATTTTGTATTGGGTATTTCTCACATGGTATCAAAACAATGATCTTTATGGAATTGAGATTAATTGTCATTAGTTTTTACCGTTGTTTGTAATTGGAGGCATCAGCAGTTATAAAGTAGCCTGAGAATTGATGAAAAAAAAGTGGAATATGGTTTTCGGTTTATATGTTTTCTTAGGATTTCGTCAATTGTTTATGCGAGTTTGGATGCAATTTGAAAAATTGTGTTTTCGCACAGCAAGAAGAAGAAAAAAATTGAATAAAGACTGACGTTTTGGAAATCATATAATTTGATTGAGTTTAATAGTTAATTTTTAATCAGTTTAATTTTTAATCAGTGGTTGTACAATCAGTTTTTCATTTTTTCTTGCTTCCGTTTGGACTCTGGTACTATCATATTAGGTAGTGATATTTGTATTCTTTTTTCTCTTACTTTAATTGACCTATATTGGGTATTGACATTGCACTCTCTCTTCCTCTTTAATTGGTTGCATTCTCCACCTCCTTTGCATTCTCTCTCTTCTTTGATTGGCTCATGTTGGGCTTTGGTATTGGCATTATTGGTATTGGTATTTGTATTAGTATTGGCATCGGTATTAACATTGGCATCAGCATTGATATTGAAATTGACATTTGCATACGTATAAAGCTGAATAATTATTTGTAAAGTTGTGTTTTAATTTTTAGTTTTGTTTGTTTTATTTTTCAGTTGGCAAACTCTTGATGCTTCTTCATCATGAGTTTGAGAAGGAATGTTAACGATATTTATCAATGTAGTAGTTGTCAAAAGTTTTAGGACATTTGTCACTATGCTTAATCAAAATCAAAATCCTGAAGTACGAGTGTACATGGGGAATGTTATGAGATTGGTATCACTTTATCAGAGTGTGGGCCGCATGCATGGCCTATATTTCCAGCGATAAGGTATGGGCTAGGCCTTACTATTTTACGAAGCAATTCTATTTTACGAAGCAATTTGGGGTTAAATCCTGTATATTTGAAGTACAGAAAAAGATATGGTAAGCCATAGGTTAAGCAACAACTCGATCACCATCTTGCTAAAATTACCAATGTAGTAGTTGTTTAGGGTGATGCTAAGATGGTCGTGGAAGGTTTTGCGGGAGTGTACTTAAATTGGTAGGTGGATTTCAATACGGATCAAATGATTTCGTTTAAGATTTTATCTTCTTTAATTGAGTGAGAAGAATCGATAATATTGCCGTTTATATTTTGATTCCATTTAATTCGACTTCTTACTTTTTAGGGGAGGTTGTTTGTGTTCCTGTGCTGACTTTATTGGACTCTGTTTCTACAGTTTTCTATTGTTTTATCAGTTTGGTTCAATGAAATAGTTTTCTATGATAATAACAAAGAAAAACAGGTACCAGACAAGCCTTTTTTTCACCTGTGCTTTATACGTGCTCAGCTTCCTTAGTAAGAGTACGAAATGAAGATTTTGGATGGCATTTCAGTGCTCGTTAGACTTCATGATCAAGTTGAGTCGAGCTAAGATACACTACATTTTACCAAAGCATTTCTATTGGCATGATTTTAGGCATTTGAAATGGGTAGCTTGTTATTACATATTGTGAGCGACACAAAAATGAATCAGAATAGTCTCTTCTCTTATCAAAGAAAAGTCATTTCCCATGATTTTCATCGTCTAATTTCTTGTTAGTATTACCTATTACTTGAATCATATCCTTGACCGGAAACATCAGTACAGAGAAGAGAACATGCAAACGTTGAATTAGGTAACTCTTAAAATAGTGAAATGATATGTAACAAGAAAAGCTTTTTGTAAAATAACTTTCAAAAAATTTTTATTTGCAAAGTCACTACGGAACCATTAGAAATGACCCCTTTTTTTTTTTTTTTTTACACCCAAAATTCTCCCAAATACACTTTATGAATCCGCGCTAGAAACTGCAGCCCTCCGCCAAACCCTACAATCTTTAGAAGGTAGGAAACTATGATTTTTGTCATATAGGTGCCCATGAGTTGGTTCGAACCTCAAATTTTAAAGGAGGAAACCAAAAGCCTGACCATTCCAACTACAATCTATTTAAGGGACAGAAAATCTCAAATTTTTTTATTTTTATGTGGTTTTATACATATTTGAGGGACAGAAAATCTGTCCTATCAATATGTTAGTGTACTAGAAAAGGTCTCATATATAAAATGGCCTACAAATTTCTTCTCTTGTTTAGTTGCCGTCCTTTTCTTTCTCACTGAAATTATAGGTATAGGTTAATGACTCGCTTGGTACTAAGCAGACTAAAAGCAGTTTATATCCTATTTTATATTTGCCCATTACAATATATTTTAATGAAACGACAATTCAAGATTATACAGAAAAACACAATAAGACTTCGAAAGCCAGTAGATTTGCATGTCATGCAGATCTTTGATCACGTGATAAGCTATTCGGTTTGCGTTGTACATCCAGTTGATAATGACTTGGCAATAATATCATTTCCAATTTTCCATGATTTTAGGCCCTATATATTTATTGCTCTACTTTAATCATGCAGACAATTTTTTTTTCCTTTCTGGATTCAGATTGTTAATTCTTGCTCAAGGGTATTCTTGTCATTTTCCCACATGTTATGGGATTTGCAACATACCCTCGTCAAGTCTCCATCTTTTTTTTTAAATTTTATTTTCGGCATCAAGTCTCAATCTTACACTTAAATATATATATATATATATAAGTGGTATTAATATTCATGCCCTTCCTCGATCGTTGAATAGCAATTAAGAATTGGGATATAAATTAGTATCAATTACTTTAATTCTGAGAGGAAAACTGGGCCCTATATGACTTATTTTACATCTGAGCCATGCGTATGTGGGCCGAACAATTAATGTCGCTGGTTGTGCTTGTTCATCTTTCAACCTGAACAGGAGAAGAGAAATTATGGTTAATGCCCATAAAGCAAAGCACCGGAAAGTACAAAACAAAGCATAAGGGTGACTATATAATAGTGCAAAAATATTTAAGACTATCGGTGCTAAGTACTACTATTAATAAAAAAATGGATCTCATTTGTGAATCTCGTGTTGCCAGGATCGACTTTCTATTAGTGGGTGGTGTTCAGCATGATTTAAGTCTTATAACACTATTTTCAGGGACATGTGCAGAAAAAAAAGTGACATAATAGGGTCGGTCACATATTAGAACCTTCATAAGCAATTATGTATTAGGCTTTTCATATTTTCAACCTTTTTATGAAAATAACGTATATATGTTTAATCTTAGGTTGGTTGTTTGTTCCAAAAGAAAGTTCTGGCTTTTGTATCTTGAATTCATGCTTTGGCGGCCTATTTCCAGAGTCTGGAACAACACTTGTTGTAGCAATTGGAAATTCAGTTGCTTGAGTGGCTCACACAAATAGATCGTTACTCCAAAAGAAGGTTGTGGCCCAACTATCAGGAATTCATACGTCGGCACCCCATTTCCAGAGTCGGGAACGGCATAGGCCAACGTATTATCAACAACTGTTAGGAGACTACTAGCAGCTGTTAGAGCATTGTTAGCAGCCAAACCAACTTCAGCTCCAACACCTTTACTAGGCATGCCCTCAGAACAATGCGCCGTGTTTGCCATTGAAGGAACGGTGCTAAGGTTACTAACCTTATGCAACGCATCATAGAGCTTGACTTTAGATTTAATGATATCATTAAGAACTCTCCCCATTTTAGAATCACCTGCAATATCCTCAATTAGTCAGCCACAATATGGTCACACATGAAAACACCTTTTTCTCCTAAGAATCAAGTGTTCTCGAAACAACATTGTAATTACTAATGTAGTAAAGGTACCCAAAAGTGACAAAATAACAGTACAAGCCGCTAATTGTGCAGCCTCTTTCTTATTTTTACCGGCACCACCAGTGTAAGAAACACCATTTAAAACCAGAGAAGAATTGAACACCGAAAGCAATCCTTCAGGTTTAATAGTGTTGTAAGTAGGCATTTCCATATTCATCTTAGTAGCAAATTCATTCAAGATAGACTTGCAAAAGACTGTGTCCAGAAAAATAATCAAGAACGGTTTCGTTAAACCACTACACGATAATGACCAATACTTGCTAAAATAAATAAGTATGGAACTGTTTTAGTGTAATTTTTAGAAATTCAAAAAAGAAACAAAATCTTACTTAGCATTAACCACAATAACAACTAGAAAGTTGCACCTCATTTATGCACTTTAACATTCTATTTTTTGTTTTTTTCCCCCCTCACCTAGCAATAGTAAAATGCAAGACTTGGGACTAGATGCAAAAATAAAATATTAAAGGAGCTTTGTTAAATTTTCAGTGACGTATGGAGCATTATTATGAAAGTTTGTGGCCTTCAGTTTGACATTTTTTTCTTTGATTAAAGGAAACTTGAAAAGTTGTCAAACATTTTACCATAAACATTTCAGGACCACTGATTGAGGAAGAAAAAGTAGTTAGATAAAGAGAAAATGTTATGTGAGATTTACATTGAGGAAACAAAAACTAACCTTGTGAATAAGAGGCAATGCATCTGGAAATCCCCTTGGAAATCCATCATCAGGCTTTTTCTGGGATATATAGTTCAGCGCAAGTTCAGCAACGTCTTGTTCAACAGCTTTACGGGTGGAAAAGGTCTTTTGAGAAGTATATTTGGCACCATTAACTAATACAGTTGCTCTAAACTGTAG